GCTACAAAACACACAAAAAATGCAAACTGCACTATCTAGAGCCAGTGTTTGGTTTGTCCCTTCTGGGCTACTTTAGATACATGGCCGTTCAATTTGGCGGCCTCTGTGGAAGGTGACCCATGTTGTCTTTAGATAAAATCAGACATGTATGTTTCCTCCTCTCTTTATCAGTTTTTACCCCTACCTTACATTAGTCAAAGTTTTCACTCATGTGAGTCTGCAGTGTCTCCTAAATCAATTGTCAGCCGTGTGACGCTGTACTTTTCGTACCTGAAATTAAAGCTTGCAGAGAAATTAATGCAAACTGATTGGTGAATACCTCAGCTGTTGTTTTAAAGGTTGGAAAAATCAGTGTGTGATCGAAGAAGAATGGGTGATTGCAGTCATTCGGTTTTATAAATGGCTCTAAAATGATAGTAAATATTCTGATTAAAAATATACCCTGCTTTCTCGACCCCTTGACTTTATCACAGCAGAATGTCAAGGCAAAGTATAGAAATTATTTCTCCAACATATTTCTAATGCAGCTGTTTGGCCTAAGTTTATTTCTGTGGTTCAGGCTATTTCTCAACATACAGTACAGTGACACCTGGCATAGGTGGTTTACAATGTTTTTCCTCTGAATGGGTTTAGAGCAACATGTTTTCTCAAGAGCAAATAGGTTGTGCTTGGTTGCTGCTCAGTGTTTCTCCGGAGAAATGTTCTTTAATTAGCTCACAGTTGGCAGCCACACAGGGACAGGGATCCATAGACAATCAATCTATTTTGCAGCTTGTAAACTGTCCTGGCTGCTGACTGGGAGCCCGAGGAGCACTCTCTACATCTGCTTGGAGAGATAAATCCTCTCCCTCTCTGTCTCTCCTCCTCTCGCTTCCTGCTTGCCTTCAGCTTCTTCTCGAGGGTCTCAGATCCTCTGCATGAATGTGAAACAGAGTTAGCGTTCACGGTGCAGAGAGGTGACTGCTCCTATTTCACAACGCTAACCCGATTGCACATTCGCTTTGTAATTGGTGCGTTGTGCCAAAATCTGCATTGTTATTCTTCATTCTGTCTGGATCTAGAAAGGTTTTTCGGTAATGATGTCGAGCATTAAGCAGGACACACACAGACACATGGAAAGCGGTTTCGGGTTTGTCTGGTTTCTCGTTCTATCAAGCGATTAGCTGCTCTCATTTCACAGCAATAGTGCAGGCTGGAATTAGCTTTAGCATGTGGAATTGTGGAGCTTTTATCATTTATCACAGTTTTTCCCCACCGAGATAGATTCTATTTGTGGTGGTAGTTTTTTTTGTTTGTTATTTTTTAAAGTATTTTTTGGGGCTTTTATTGCCTTTTTTTGATTGGTAGTGACAGCCGAAGATAGACAGGACACTAGTAGTTGACCAGGACACTCGCACTTTCTTAAATTAATTATTGAATAATATCATATATACTGAACAATATATACTGCTCCATTGTTACACCTTATATCAAACAAATGATGAAATATAGCTATTCTTACTAGCTAGGCTCCTTACATGCTTAGTAATAACTTATTTGAAGAGCTGGGTCTCCGAGATTGATAGCATTGTGTTAAAGGTCCATTGTGTAATATTTAGGAGGATCTATTGGCAGAAATGCAATATAATATTCATAACTATCAATAGTGTATAATCACCTGAATATAGGAATCATTATATTTTTTATCTTAGAATCTGCCTTTTATATTTACAGATCACCTTCCATGGAATCCACCATGTTAAACCAGCATGTTTCTACAGTAACCCAGAAGGGACAAACCAAAAACTGACTTTAGATAGGGGCATGTTTTTTTTTTTTTTTTTGCGTATTTCGTAGCCACTGTGGTTTCTCCTTCGCGCTTGGAAGGAGAGGGTGAAACAGGGAATTTTGGCCTGCAACTAAACCGCTAGATGCCACTGAACGCTACACATTGGACCTTTTTAAGAACACAGGGTAGTCGGGACGCCCTGACAGCTCACATGGTAGAGCTGATGCCCCATGTACCAAGGTTGCAGTGAGAGCGAGTGTGGCCTGTGGCTCTGTGTAAGCTCTTTCTTTCTTTCCCTTTCCTGTCTATCTTCTGCTATCCTATCCAATAAAAAGGCAAAAAGCCCCCAAAAGCAATATTTACACAGGGTAGTCCATAAGGTGTATGCATAGTGAGTCTGTGGTTTAGCAAGTAAGAGAGAGCTAGCGTCAGAGATATGGTGAATACGAGCAGAGCAAAGGAGAACGTTAGCACTAAAGTTGTCAGTTTAGCAGTAGCAGTGTGCGTTGCGGACTGTCAGTGAATAAAGACTGCAGCTTCTCATGACCAAGTTATTTGAAAGACTGTAAGGAGCCCAGCTAGTATAGCTATATTTTGTTATTTTTTGAAGCAGTGGAGCTGTATATATCTTTCCACTAGCCACAAATAGAATCTAATATATTGGAAAACACTGTTATCCATTTTTAATAGTAAAAAGAAAATCAATGTTGATATTGTGGCAGACTGCCACAAATAAATCAATGTATATAAAACAACACTGAATCATTATAGAACACATGCATTCATGTCACTTTGTTTTGCAATAGCACCTCCTCATAATAATTTTCAATCCATATGATGTACCATACATTGGATGTTGAAATGTGGCCACATATTGAGTTTCTTGACAGATACAGTACTGTAGGGAAGCCGGAAGGCATATGCTGTAGATGCCTGATCCTATTATAACCCTTCAACAATACCCCTTTTGGGGTTGGTCTGCCTAAATGAAAACAAATGGACTGTTTTTTATTATTAGGATTTTTTTTACAATGCTCAAAGAATAGAGGGTGTTGTATGCTGTACAGATTTTAAAGCCCCCTGAGGCAAATTGTTATTGGGATAAAATTGACGTGACTCGACTTGACTTTACAGTGGAGCCAAAGTGCTTTGGAGGCGGCGAGATAATATTTATTTAAGGTTTCACTAGTATAGTTTGCTGTGTATTGTAGCTGATGGATCTTAGTACTGATAGTCTGTGAAACAGTCCTTTCTGCCAGCATCCTGTAGGTACAAGGATTTTATCAGCCTGATTAAAATCACATGGTCTACAAAGGACATTCCGGTTTACATTGTACATTTAATTCAGAAAACAGGGTGCTTGGTTAGCCGTGGTGAAAGAAGTATTCATATCATTTACATTACCATTTACAGGAAAGTAAATTTAACAAAAAAAAGCACATTAACATGAATCTAATTTATTATTAGATAAATCGGCCTAGTTGTTTAAATATATATTGTACACGTTATTGTAGACCTAGTAGAATATGCAACACATTTGCAAGAAAAATTGCTGAATTATTATCAGCAAACTTCAATATTTTACAGAATGTTCCAGAATTTATTATTATTACTTATGCATTAATGTGTAAATAGCATCTTGTCGCCAGTCAGGGTGGACCAATTTCAGATTATATTGGGCTTTTTAAATGTATGACGGTCGATCAATTAATAGGTTGACAGTACACTTACAATAGCTGTCAGATAAATGGAGTTGAATAAAAAGTTAAATATTTTCCAGTGAAAATAGTGCAGAAGTATGAAGTAGCTTGAAATGCAACCTAAATATTCAAGTTACAAGCTGTCACTCTTAGTATGTTACACAGCCCCTTAGAAATTGTTACCTCGCATTACTTTTCTTCTCTTCAGCCTTCGTCAGTCTGTAAAAACAGCTGCTGTTTGTGCACAACAGCCCTTTACAATTTTAGAAGATTTCTCCTTATTTTTTTCTTTTTCATGTGAATACACAATGCAGGTTCTTTTGTTTGCCACTCAGGGGAGAGTGACCATAAAGTGACATCACGTACATGTCCTCAGTCATAAGGAAGTCACCTGAACCGTGACAATCAAGCAGAAATGAGATAAAACACAAGGATCATGGGAGAAATGTGTTTGATGGTCACTGATGGCAGTAATGTGTTTGTTCCTGCTTTTTTTCTTAAGGCCAGTGACTATGTGTGTCTCTATGGGCTGCATCCACCCACAAACTTACCTTACATCTCTGCATGCAACATACAGTGTATACATTTACCCTCAATATTACAATGTGAGCAGCTCCTTCCTCAGAGGAATAAAATGTCACCTATTGCAGCTTTTACACGACACATCGTGTATCACCTTTTGCATTTGACACTCTCAGCCTCATCTCTGTCTCTCCTGCCTGGCGGTGGAGCCTGTCCTTTGTGAAGACAGCGCCCTGTAAACAATAGGAGGCTGCGGTAATTGTGGTTCCACTTGATTTCACCTCTATG